GTTAAACACATTTTAAAACTAGAGTCAGAGTTCCCTTTAAAATCACCTCTGCATTCGAATCTTTACACCCGATACCAGACYCGATACGATACCTTTACTGGCCAAGTGTTACATACTGAGTTTTATGCATTTTTCATGTAACAGTAAATGTTTCAATTTCAATAAAACGGCAATGAGTGTGCCGATGACTCGGGCGGGTACTCCGGGGAAAAAGTACCGGGGATGCTCGTCAGAAATCATTTCTTTTTAAAAAACTAAAAGATCCCGGAAGTATTGAAACAAGGGCGTGGCTGAATGATTTTTAACCCCAAAGATATTGCACAACAAATATTGTTAAATTAAATCAGTTCCAATGATAAAAACGCAGGAAAAATCAATTAGATGCGCTCTTTCTCTTCTTTTTCAAAATCCTAAGTGATTGAAGATAATGCAAATATCCAGAAACGGCAAATTGGCTACCAAAAAATGATTCCCAATCACGAATTTATACCTCTAAGAGATCCAGCGAGCAACCGCGGGGCCGATGACCCACAGCATTTATGTGATTTATAGTTCTCAATAAATAAATAAATAATTATATATTTAACGAGGAAGCCTTATCATCAAAGTTGATTTTCATTATAAGGGTCCTCAACAATCAAATAATTTTTTTCAAATTTTTCCAGCAAACGATCTTCAGGCCAAGAGCAGCACTTGGTAATATAGTAAGTCACTTGAAAATATTACATAATCGTTTTACCTCTATATAGCTCTTGTTTTCTAAACACTACAAACACAACCAATGATTATTTTATTCTATACATAATCACTTGATCATGAGAAAATATGCATTGCAATATGTACAACAAGTTGTCATTGAATTCGAAGAAAGTTATCAAGAGAAGCCGACGGAGTCTGTTCTTCAAAACAACTGTTCTTGTACGAATTTTTTTTTTCCGGGAAAGGGATTTTGAGCTACATTCTTGACAATCTCACAAGCAAATGTGACGCACTTCCTTCCTTTAAAATAAATATGTTCCTGGCAAACTTCGAAAGCTCGAAAAAGGCTTATACAAGGTTTTTATGGTCAAAAACGGCTATATATTTTTTTTAGTTAGGAATTTATTTTTTCCTTTCTAAAATTCAGTCTTAGAAAGTATTCCTTGCCTGGGGAGTTCTTTTTTCCATAATTTCTCGCTGCCAACCAGTTGTGACTTACAGCTGGCTGGGACATAAGAACAGATATATTTCTCCAAGGAACCCGTCGGCTCCTCCTAAAGTCTTGTGAAGCGTTGAAGTGAGATAGTAATATGAATTATGAATATATGTTTTCATATTAGGCGCCAAAGGACACTGAAGTACTTATGAAAAAGCGTAATTGGGTCCAAACATCGTTCAAACAGGTTACATCAGCAAACCAAAGACCGAAAAAGAGCATAGGGAAACGAACAGTGTTTCAATGTGTAATCTAAAATAATCTTTGTCTGTGGGTAGAATTTGTACTCCCACACAAATGATGGCGTAAGTACACCGAACAAAGATGTCTAGTTATAAAAAGTTATATAAAGCACCGTACTCTTATAGACATATAAGTCTGTTAGCATCATCATTGTTGTCGAAAAAGCTTTAAGATGTTATTAATTACCAAGATGGAAACCACGGAAAACTTCTCAAAAATGATGTAGGGCACTTTTCCAAAAAACTACCATGAATATAGCTTACAATTTTTGATATCAAATTGCACTCCTTTTAAAACTACAAATAACGACAACAACAAAAAATCTAACTGTAGATCACCTGTTTTCCGATTTTTTTTCCGTATTTTTATCTAAGTGTACTTAGGGGAGGAGGGTGATTATCGTCAGAAATTTAAAAAAGACCTGAAAAAAGATACCAGAGCATTGCAAAGATGTGCGTGGCAAGCTACTTGAAAACACAAAACTCCTTCATTTTTACCCCAAAATGGATACAACTATCATCCCGCCGCCCCTCGATTTATGGAGTCCCCCCCTCCTCGGTCAACGTAACTCTGCAAGAATATTGGATTATAGTTACTTACATGCATGTTTAGATGTTTAGTCGATTTGGAGGCTTTTGATTTCACCTGAAGGATAGGCTTCTGTATACTGATGTTATTGTTCGATATCTATTTGAACAGTTAAGTTTAACGAAAGTTTTTACAAGCATGTGAGGCTTGTCTGTTTCTTTAACTAGGAAAAAACAAGATCAAGACTTCTTCCTTCTTCTTGTAAAGATAACAGAGAGACAAGTTAATACAAGTGTTCGCGTTTAGTCGATGGGCGAAGGATATGATCAGTATGACTGGTTATTGATCGAGTAGTTTGTTACGCATATCTTCAAATTAAGCGTTCATAATTTGAACATATGCACCAACATGAACTATAATATGTTCCTTCAGTGTACAAGGCTGGATAGCTTGTTCTTGATGCCTTGGCGAATGTAGGACAGACGCAGTGACATGATGATTGGGTTGATGAGGGACTGGAAATGTACAAATGTTGAACATATCTCTATTGCGATGTATTGGAAATCGCTCGTCACATCTTTTCCTGCTACGGCTTCTATCCCTGTGACTATAATGAAAGGAAAATAAAAGAGAATCGAAAAAACCACTAACATGGTCATCGTGAACACTCGCTTGTATTCCTGGAGTCGTTGTTCTTGTTGCTGCTGTTCGTCTGGCTGTAGAACTGATTCTTGCTGCAGGGCGATGGTTCTACTCTGACGATGAGCTGTCATCTGAACTTTAGATGTGCAGTACAGAATTACCATAACTAAAATACAAGTAGATATAGCCAAAGGAACTTTGTATATTTCTTCGTAGTTTCTGTTCAGTAAAGCGGTAATAATCAACAGAGGTCCCATGATTATCAAGGAAGATGTTACYGTTGTTATCATGATCTTTTTTACYGTRATGTTCTGGAGGTAAAAGTTCGGATGTTCAATGGCTAAATACCGCTCAATACTTGCAATGGTAAAGATAATCATTGTTGCACCTGAACAGAACAAACTCRCTAAATTATGCACAGTAAATGTACAKTCAGGTAAAAGACAATTGTTCAGAAGACATCCAAGAAAGAGACAATACAGCGGTTCGCCCAGCAATCCTGTCAGCAAGTCTGTCACTGCTAAAGAGGCAAGCAAAGCGTTGAAGGAAAAAGATCTGAGACTTTCATCCCCCACCACTACCCATATGATGAGGGCGTTAACGCTGATTGTCGGTGGGGCAGCAAGACCATTGACAGCAGCAAGGAAAGTCCAAGTCGGGTGAACTGAATCTGGACGGTTCATGTTATGTGGGTCAAAATCTGGCAGGGACAAAAAGCAAAGACCAGGTGTACTACTAGTAGGAACCAAGACTCTCATAGTAGAATTATTTGCCATAGCAAGTAAAAGAGCAAGCGGCTGCAAGACTGAATTTGCTTTCAAATGATGGATAACTGAAGTATAGTGTTTCACTGATCGATCAAGAAGCTATGAATCAATAGCTATCAATGAAAGATTTTAAAGGCTTATCTCGTCTGACGTAAAGTTTCTTTGTTATTCAACATATGTAATTATTAATTGTCAGAATTCTTTCTTTACTAGAAACCCTAGTATTGTACGGACATTTCGATTGGGTATGAAAGGAGAGTGTAGCCTTGTCAGTTACGTTTCTTGCGCATTTTACTTATAGTTTGAGGATGAAAAATGGTCAAAAATAGGAGTAACAGTACAGAGAGTATAAACCAACCGTTATATAGTTAAGTCACCTCCATTAGCAGTTTAAAATTGTGTACAAAGGTTCAACTGCATTTACAGGAAACCAGATAATGTCCATTATTATAGAGTTTACTTATAACATGTTTCGTGTCCAGCACAAATGTCGGAAGAACAGCGATTTTATCGAAGTGACTTTTTATAAAATTTATAAAATGTCACTCAAAATCCAAAAATGTGAAAATCGACTTGAGTGAGTTATGAGTGATTATCTGCTACGTTATGCGATCAATCTAAAATTAGATGTTACAGCTGTTGCCCCGTCTTCTTCTTATTGGTTAACTCGGAAACTTCTTTCAAGTCCACCTCTCTCTCCATTTCCCAGGCGTTAATCCATGTTCATTTCCTGATCCAACAAGCTTTTATCATCGTTAAATTTGTCATTGTTCAGAATAAGAATTGATTATCGTTTATGGTAACATGGTTGGCTTCAATTCACGAAGTGAAACTGCTACTAAGGTTTATTTATTTCCATAGATCTATTTTGAACAGATTCTCGGCAAGAAATTTTTTCAATTCATTTATAAATTTAAGTTGAAGTTTTAGTTAACAATACGCAATAAAGCCCAAGACGAAATGTTTCTTGCTGAATATCTAGGTTGACTTCTGATATTTTTGCGTTATTTTCTCCATTTTTCGCGCTACAATTTTTAAAGAAGTTACACATTATTTCGAACAAATGTTGCAATAAAAGTTGAATGGGCTTCCCGTGAGTCGTCTCAACAGATTCTAGATTCGCAGGGTCGATTCGCAGGCGCGAAACCGCTGTCCAGTGATCGTTGTGACAACAACCAGCAAAATGTTGCGAATATATTGGTTTTGGCGATTAAAAGAACAACAACAAACATTACAGAGATTTCAACAATTTTAAACTTAATATACAAACTTTTTAAGCAGTTATAAACTAAAACAAAAAACTAATCTGCCTTCCTCAAGCGCTCGTGCGGAAGACCTGTCTCGGAACTGTAATATTTACGGTCAAAGGTATTCTTCATTTTCACTCATCAGTGGAACAGATAAAGTTCGTATCAGCACCATTAATGTCATGTTTATTATAAAAATTTAAATTTATATCTAATCGTATGAGGAAGTGGCTGATCCCATTAAAGAGTGCTCAATACACATAAAGTGTAGAAAATTTAAATTTATATCTATAAGGCAAGAACAAGGATAACTTCC